CCAGAGCTGTGTGTGAGTCAGCAAGGCCCCCAGAGCGCACAGATCCTGGGAACGCCTAGTGAGGGTGTAGTAATCATTCAGCTCACCTCCCCAGACAACGTCCTCTGCGCGAGGGGGCTCAGTTACCATTTCCACATCCTCTTGGATTCCACGTTCCTCCAGCAGAGCACAGGGACAGGTTCCATTCACGGAATGTCCTTTCTGACAAATACTCCACCCTGATCTGGTCTGATTTCACCCTCTGCACAGGATTTCCCATTCCTAAACCTGAGCTGATCGCCCGGCTGGAACGAGGGGAGGAGCCGTGGGTGCCCGATCTCCAGGCCTACAAAGAAAGAAGGCTTCTGAGATCCACCCGTATAGGTGAGGACTGACACAGAAACCATCTAGGGAATGAAGGAAAAAGATGAGAATCCCAAAATATGATATGAGTAAGTGCCCTCAGTTCTTCCTTATCTCAGCCAGGACAGGGCTGCAGTAATCAGATATAGCTCACTCCATTCCATCCAGCCTCTTAGCTGCAGGAGTTTGCTTCCCAGCTTTCCTTCCCTGTGAGTGTTTGGGTGGGATCTAGAGGCGGAGTCCAAATGCTCAGTCTTTGTGTTGGGTTTTCCCTTTGTGCTATTCCTCTTTCTCCCCAGCACAATGACTCCTGTCTGGATTGTGTCTCTCCCAGCAGGTGCTGAGCGAGGGAGTGAGAATGAGGCGGGGAATCATCATGAGAAAGTTCCCGGGGAAGTGGAACCGCAGGGGACCTTTACAGGAAGAGCTGAAGGAAATTTTTCCCAGTGCTTAGAGCAGGGAGAAGCCTGGGGAAGATGGCACAGGTCAGAGAGGCTTCTGGGAAACCACCCAGGGAAGAAAGTGGATGAATCTTTTAACGGTGGGGGAGGAGAGGAGGATCCCACAGCGCCGCAGACAAATCCCAAGGAAGAGACACCCTGGCACTACCTTCAGTGTGGGAAACGATTCATTTTGAGATCACAGTTTGTGACACATCAGACAAT